CGATATATCGAATACAAAGTGACATTTGTTCAATTCGCGATATATCAGTCGTCTCGTCTACTAAAATTGAAAATGATTTTGCCCTATTGATTCTATCCACTAAACAATTTTGAATTATTTTTCCAATTATATCAATTAAATTATTTTGAATAGTAGGACTTAAATACATAGCTTTAAATGTGTCATTTTCAATACAATCAGTTATTATTTTATCACCGCAGTTCATTCGCATTCACAGAAGAGCTCTAAAATTGTCATCATTGTGGACTGGCTCATTTAAAGTGAGTGGTCCAGAATCAGATGTACAACGAAGAGCCAATTCTTGACGACCACATAAAATTATTGTTTGAATAACTGGTGTTCATTTTTTTCTATTTTCAACTATTTGATTAGCACGTGCCGAATCATTTTTTTGACAAATATCTAACTGTTTGTTGCAATATATAGAAATAAAATTCTCAGCAAAAAAACGTTGTTTTTATGATACTCTGTGTCCTTATGCGTGCTAAAAATTTCAATTGCATTTTTCCATTTATTGAATGGTTTTGTTACTAATACGCCGGGTTTTTGATGTGCACCTTTACCGGTAAAATTATGATAAAATATAGCACAATATTTGCACACCGCTCCAGAACCTTGCATATTAGTGCAACATAACCAAGGGATTCGATTAATCCAATTTAATTGAAATTTTAACTTTCTATTTCCTGATATAGGAAATTTAAACTTTCCATCAGGAATCCAAACATTAGAAAGTAACTTATATTTTAATTCATCACTAACCTTTTGATCAAAACAGCAGCCAATATCAGCTACATCACTCTTAGATTTTTCTGTTGTAACTGGTGTGATTGCAGTCAATATTGGACTTGAAGTACAGACTTCATTTCCGTCATGGGTTGTTTTTATTTTTTTATTAAAATAGTTTGTTAAAGTATTAGCACAATTGCTCTTACGATTTGATATTTTATAGAAAATATAAATAAATTAAAATAAATATGAGTATTATATTAATTTCCAAGAGAAATATCACCACTTAATAGTTAATAACTTTGTTCATAGGACGTCTCAACACAAAGTTACACCTTACACTGTAAATTTCGCATTGCTCTATGAGTCTCAAGCAAGCGGTACAAGATAACATGTACATACAACTATGACTAAAAAAAAAAAAAAATAAACGATTTTGTTGTATAAAATAAAGTTATTAATAATATTATTATTGGAGATACTGAATACCGATAACGTTCTTTGAAAAACGGTAATACGGCCTACAGATAATAATTCCACTCTTCAACATGTTATCGTTGTCTGTCAATCGTTTACAATTAATCGCTAGTGACGTATATATCTATGTATATATTTTAATATGCCATTTATAAAATACGACATTAGAATTCGTATCCACACAATTTCTGGATTATAAAATAATATAATATTTTACAATATAAATATGTTTAGAGAGTTATCTGTATTATTATGTAAATTATTAAATTTTAAAGTTTAGTTTATTAACTATTAAAAAGTTTCGGGGGGGGGGGGTGAACCCAAATAATAGGTAAAGACATCAAGCATCTATATAAAAAAAAATTATATTGATATGTTTATTTTTGAAAAAGTTATGGAAGTTTTAAGAAAAAAAAGTGAGAAAAATGACAAAATTTACCGATTTTTAAATTTGTAATTTTTTTGGATATTTTCCCCATTTGCGGGGAACGAGGGAAAATTTTTCGATTTTTAAGGGTAATGTCTTCAACTAGATACGATTTGTGATCTTTTGACGTATTGTTGAAAGAAATCGGTCCAGTGAGTGCTGAGAAAAAGTGGCAACAGACATA